ATAAAATATAATTATAGGAAAAAAAAAAAAAGAAAAAAATCTATTGCAACTATCACTCTCCTCTTTTCCAACCCTAACTTGCATAAAAAAAATCATCTCCCCGCCTTCTCTGATCTCAACCCAGTAAGTAATTTCCCATACTATCCTTCCCCAGAGCTCCAGATCAAAACACACAAACAAATTCGCCAAGTTCTTCTGCCCCTCCTCTCCCTCAAGTAGCAGCCACTACAGAGAGGGGCAGCAATAAAAGAACAAACAAGTTTATAAAAAAAAAAAAGCCTAAGAAAATATAAGCCTACACATGTATATAGATTTCTACTTTCATAAAATAAATTTAAGAATTTAAAAAAAAAAAAAAAATAAGTCATTCTGTAACAGTGTTACAGTAATCTTATGTTCAGATGTTAAACCAGCTGGGTTCCTATGATAAATCCCAAGTGATTGTGTTACTAGAATCTTTTTTAAGTGTTGTTCCATACAATTTGCTGCTGTTTTGCTGTGAGTTGTTTGATCCTTATTCATTAAGGGATTTTATTTCCTTTTTTGCATTTTATTTCCTTGCGCTGTTACTATATAGACCAAATGAATGTGTATTCTTTTCATAATGGGGGGGGGCACATATATGTAAAAACTAGGAATGAAATCTACTTGGCAGTCATCTTTCTATTTCATTGTAGGCTCAAATGAAAGATTATCAGCGTGAATTGGAAGAAGCTCGGGCCTCCCGGGATGAGATTTTTGCTCAGTCCAAAGAGAGTGAAAAGAAACTGAAGAGTCTGGAGGCAGAAATACTTCAGTTGCAGGAGGTCAGTTTGTTCATCCATCCATTTAGTCAACAAATAGTCATCTTTGAAGGTTCTCCAAAATCAGAGAAACACATTCTAATATCTTCATGTCATCATTGTGTACCATTAAGTTGGAGCTGACCCTCCAGTGGGTTCTCAGAGCAGTCAATTGCACAGGAAGAAATTACCTGTCTTTCTCCCACAGAACAGCTGGTGCATTCAAACCGTGTACCTTTGTATTGGTACCACAATTTCTTAGCACTAAGCCAGCAGATCTCCCTTCATATCTTTAGAGCTTCATTTATGTGTCCAGTTTTATTAGGAACTGGATCATTTTGTTGCTTTAGTTTGGCAAATAAGTAGTGGCTACACGTTGGCACTTCTCGTATCTATTCCCCTGTCTGTTTAAAAAGCAAAAGAACATCTGGGAACTCTTCAATCCATTTGCACACCTGTTCCCATATGTAACAAAGAATGGTTATGTAATTTGGTGTGGTAAGCATCCAGGTCATTTAACTCTGTTGTAAGATGGCTGGTCGACCTTGAGACTTGGAACAAGCCACAAGTCCAGGTGGCCCCAATTCTGCATCTATAAAGTAACCTTTAAATGTTGAGACAGTGAATGCCATCTTTAGCCTGGTGGGGTGAGAAAGCAGGCCTGACCCTTTCCTCTGTGGCAGACTGTCTCTCCAAAATGTGAGTGCAGAAGCAGCAGCCAGGGCCCACCTCCAGAGGCCAGGCTGGCAGGTACCCTGTGGCCTTGGGAGGAGGCCCGACTTAGTCAGGGCTTCCCCTTGGGACGTGACCCCTGTAGCATGGCACGGACTACATAGGGCTGGGTGTTCTGCTGACTTCGGAGTCTGTCAAACACACCCTCCTGGGTGTGACAGACACAGGAGAACTGTGATGAGGTACAGCTCCTGTTCCTTGAGTCTGAGTTTCTGTGACGCTGTGTCTAGCCTGCACTTAAGGACTTTCCATGAAGGTGCGCTGTCACTGCCCCTTTGGTTGGAAATGTCTGCACAGCCTCACGTGGATGTGCCTTCTTGCTTGGACATTTGTGCAGCTCTAAACTGGCCCACTCACACACCTGTAGTCTTTCCATCTTACTTGCCAGCTTCCTCCCCGGACTCTAAGCTGCAGTCGGGGTAATACCAATTTCACTTTTAGAGGCAGGTTTTATAATTTATTCTGCTGAGATTAGTAGCAGGCCAGTTAAAGGAAGTGTCAAGTCAACGTCCCCCCAAATGCGTGACCTGCTGTGTAAGCCCATGATTTCTGACATCACCAGCTCCTCCTTTGTTCAGTTCCCTAACTCTACTCTGTCCTGTGTGTTCGGGGGTTCACTGGGAGTTCTCCCAGAGTTGTAGACTCGTCAGGGGAATGACTCAGTGACTGTTGGTATGCAGAAACTGGTGAGTGATGGACCACAATCCTAGAGTGTTGGTTGTGGCGCACCTGTATGCTCTGTCCCAGGAAAGTGAGCCTCCCAAAAGAGAGCGCTAGCACTGAGGTCCCCTGAGCTGATATAAGCCTCTGATCTCGTGGCATTGAGATAAGAATTTGCACAGCAGTCCCAAAGGCACTCGATTCGTATCCACCAGCTGCTCTGCAGGAGAAAGCTGGGCAGTCTCCTCCCTTGTACAGCCTCTGAAAACCCACTAGAGGACCAGCTATGAGTCAGTTCCACTTGACTGGTGCAGAACAACAACAATAACAGAATGGGGCTTATTAACCATCCTAATTCTCTCTCCTTAATACAATATATATTTCAGCACAAAAGTAAACAGTTAAAAATTGGCTAGAGAAGATATCTTGAATGATAACCCTTAGATACCCAGAGAGGCTAACTCACAGTCTAACCTGTAGGAACTCGCCTCCTCGGAGCGAGCCCGCCGACACGCCGAGCAGGAACGGGATGAGCTGGCCGATGAAATCGCCAACAGCGCTTCTGGCAAGTGAGTGTATGGGGGTCCTCGCTGGCTGCCCCTGTCGATCCCCCGCCCCGCTGGCATCAAGGTTGTGGGGATTCTGGGCATCTGGGGAGGCAGTGATTCCATTGGTGACAGAGAGGCTGGCACGAGACACTGAGCTTGGGGACCACAGACTGCAGGCCACACCTCCCGGCGCTGGCCTGTCACAGTGGAATCTTCCGGCTAAGAACTTGATGTCTTCATTTATTGGTTATATCCTGAGGAATCACAGCATAGGGACAGACGCCCAGCGCATGTTTTCTAACATGCCATGAGGAAGCACAGGGTCCCGGGGAATGTCGTGGGCTTGCATTTACGAGTACTGCTCTGGCTGTTGGATGTGGAGAACTGACAGGGGTGCAGCAGGAAGCTGGTGGGAAGGTTACCACAGCGGTCAGGGGAGGGGAGGATGGATGTGGAGGAGCAGGTAAGACAGATCTCAGGTTTCTGGTCGGGATCTTGTGTTCTGCGGGTGGGTGAAGAACTGGCATCCTCTCTTCACCCCCTCCCCAGGTCTGCGCTGCTGGACGAAAAGCGGCGGCTGGAGGCCAGGATCGCACAGCTGGAGGAGGAACTGGAGGAGGAGCAGAGCAACATGGAGCTGCTCAACGACCGCTTCCGCAAGACCACCCTGCAGGTGACCACACAGCCAGCCCTGGGAGGGGGGGACAGGTGGGCGCTGCAGTCCCCACACGTGACCAAGCCTGGCCACTCCCCAGGTGGACACACTCAATGCAGAGCTGGCAGCCGAGCGCAGTGCCGCTCAGAAGAGTGATAACGCCCGCCAGCAGCTGGAGCGACAGAACAAGGAGCTCAAGGCCAAGCTGCAGGAGCTGGAAGGCGCCGTCAAGTCCAAGTTCAAGGCCACCATATCAGCCCTGGAAGCCAAGATCGGACAGCTGGAGGAGCAGCTGGAGCAGGAAGCCAAGTAAGAGATTTTGCTGCTATAAGTCAAAATTGACAGCCCACCTGCTAGAGACCAGGGACTGGCTCGTGTGGCCCTTTCCCTGGCAGGTAGCCCCCTGATGAGGAACAGATGACAAGAACACCTGGGGTCACAACAGTCGAGGGGAAGGAGGAGCTGTAGAAATGAGGACAGGTGGCTGTGGCGGATGGACAAGGACACTGGACTCACCTGTCAGTACATCCAGGCCCAGCCAAGGCCAGCGCCCCCACCACCACGGACCCCGATATCCCCGGCCCCATAGTTTACAGCTCTGCCCACAGGCAGCTGTCCAAGTTGGTGATTCTGTGTGAACAGGTTCCAGCTCATAGGCAGAGTAGAAATGTGATATGACTCAGGTGACAGCTTTTCCTGTCCCCTTGGAAAGTACGGCTTAACAGCTTCCACAAGCTGCTGTTGTATTAAATCATCATGGCATCTGTGGGCCTGTTGGAATCATGAGCACTGGTGGCCCACGGGTGGCTGTTCTCCGGTGGTTCCAATCCGCTAGCAGCTCCACAGAAGAAAAATGATCAGACTTCTCCTGTGCGATTTACAGCCTCTGAAAACCCCCAGGAGGGTCAGTTATAATTAGCATAACTGGGAGCTAATGACTTCGCTAGCCATTTCTGTGTATTTGGTAAAAAGAGAACTTTTACATTTGTCTTGGAGTTTTCCAAATACGTCACCTCTCCTTCACCTGGGAAGGGCAGTCTTGCCTGGGCTGCTTGTGGAGAGTGGGCAGCCGTGGCTGCTGTTCCTGGTTTGCTGCAGTCTGCAGATTGATCACTTAATCAGTTGGGGTTTGGGTTTGTTTTGAATGTTTGGGGTAAAAGACTAGTGAGTAGACTAACCAAGGAGGACTTTGCTTGGAAAGGCCTGTGTTCAGTGAAGCTGGGGGTGGCACAGCCAGCCACAGCATTTGCTGTTCAGGAGATGATGGCATGACGTGATCACTACTCCACGTGAAGGATGAGAACGTCCTCCCCATCTGTCAGACAGCACTGGGGAGATGCAGGAAAGGCAGTTCTTGTCCTCAGGGAAAAGCCCTATTGTGATTCTCCTAGTATTCTGACCAGAAAGGCCTTGTGAGGTCCTTCAATGTGTAGTCCACAGAAGAAAAGGGACTTTAAAGATATTCTCCCACGCAAGTTTAATGTGTTGATCATTTCCAAAGGGAACGAGCAGCTGCCAACAAACTTGTCCGTCGCACTGAGAAGAAGCTAAAGGAAATCTTCATGCAGGTTGAGGATGAACGCCGGCATGCGGATCAGTACAAAGAGCAGGTCAGTCTCCCACCTGAGTGGGGACAACAAGCCAGGTGTCTCCCTTTGACAACAGTATAATTAACAATGAAAATGCTGCTGCACGGATCTGAGTGTTTGCACAGTGTGTATGGTCAGTGTTCCTGTGGGGACTCCATGGTGCAGAGGTGCGTGGACGCCGGCCCCGCCCTCCACAGCTACAGATGGTGGTACCCCTGAGGGGAAGGGCAGGGAGCCGGCCGGCTGGGTGGGGAGGCTTTGGAGTGAGGCTGGTCTGACCTTCAAAGTCAGTTTCCTTACTCAATGCAGTCTGCCGAGCAACTGCTTCTTACCATTGTGGCTCATGTGCCTGGACCAGGTCCTGGTACAGTTTCTAATCATGAAATACCAGGTGGATGGAGGGGTGCATGAGGTGTTTGGAGAAAATGCAGAGGAAACAGATGTGCCATGAGGTAGCTGGATGTCATGGCCGTTTGTGTCTAGACACCTTTTCTGAAGTCAGGCAGGACCGACAGTAGAACTGTGGATCAGGTCTATAGGGTGAGGAGCCACTTTCCCATGGCTCACGTCCTGTCACTGTGAGGAGGCTAACTCTGTGGACACCACACCGAAGGCTGACAGCAGAGGCCCTCACTGCCTCCGCAGACATCCCTCCTCTTCTACTGCGGGCATACAGCCCAGCCTCCCTCCCCTCCGCACCCACAAGCCTGGCAGCACCGCCGCCCTGCACGGGCCCTGGCTGGTCCCTGAGGTTTCGGAGTTAATCACCCCACCAGGGGCTCTGGTTCTCATCAGGTCTCCCAAAGAGCTCCGGGATTTGAATCAAAGTACGGTGTATAATGTAGTAGGTATAAAAGTGCCCTCTCCTAGGGTCAGGCCAGCGCCCTCTTGGGTCTTCTGCATCTTACAGGATTATCAGTTCCCTTCCACATACATCACACTGTGAAGACGTGAAACATGTCATTTTTCTGCAGGACACCCAACGGGTAACAATGGAGCCTTGATTTGCTTTCTCAAGCACAGAGGACTAGTTGCTCTGCTTACTGGCTTTGCTGAGATTGGCGGGCAGATCGGGCCTGGGACCAGCTAGGACTGGGCACACGTGGAGTTCCATGCTGCTCAACTGAGGTTCACTGGGCGGCTTTGTCTTGGTTTGTGTCACTTCTCTAAGATGGAGAAAGCCAACGCCAGGATGAAGCAGCTCAAACGCCAACTGGAGGAAGCAGAGGAGGAGGCTACACGTGCCAACGCGTCACGGCGTAAACTCCAGCGGGAACTGGACGATGCCACGGAAGCCAACGAGGGCCTGAGCCGCGAGGTCAGCACACTCAAGAACCGGCTGAGGTGAGCGATGACGAGGACGTGGCGGCCAGTCCTGGAGTCCACGCCCGGGGAATATGGCCTCGAACCATTTCCTGTTCATCTCCCAGGATATATCTGGCATTTATATTCATTCTGGAGGAGAGGAACAGGCCTCCCCCTTCACCCCCAACTGCCCTGGCCATTCCCACGTGGCTCCTGATATAGGAGGCCTAGTGTTGGGGCTGGCCATCAGTGAGGAGAGGCTCGGCCTCCATCGGAGAGAACAGGCAGCCGCCCCTCGGCACCCATGGCCACACGGGAGTGAGAATAACAGCAGGTCAGCATGTCAGCCAGCTAGCCCCCAGGCCAGGCACAGCCCCTGCTCCAGCTGCATACAGCAGAGAGTTTAAAAATCAAGTGTGACAGGGACGCTGCTTGGCCTACAAAGCCTTGAGTATTCCAGTCTGGCCTTTTACAGAAAAGTTTGCTGACTATGGGCTAATGGTGTTGTTAGGTGCTGTCGAGTGGACTGTGTCTCACAGTGTACCGCTCTGGCCCAGACGGTCTTGCATTGAGTCAAGCCATCCTCTTGTTCTCTGCCCAGGCGTAGTCTTGGGGGTTAGGCCACTCCTCCTCAGTCATGCTCCTGATCCACTGCCAAGCAGGGCCCAGGACGTGACCCCAAGGCCTTGGAGCCGAAAGGTGGTGGCATGACGAGGCCAGGCTTGCACTGTCCCACTCACTCACATGTCTCGTGTTTGTCCTCTCCAGGCGGGGCGGCCCCATCAGCTTTTCCTCCAGCCGGCCTGGCCGGCGCCAGCTGCACATCGAGGGGGCGTCCTTAGAGCTGTCTGACGATGACACAGAAAGTAAGACCAGTGACGTCAACGAGACACAGCCACCTCCGTCAGAATAGAGCCACAACAGCTGTTGAAGGTGAGAGGGGACACAGGAACTCGAGGCCACCGACCTCTGAGGAGGGCACGTCCCAGGCTTCTCACTGCGAGATCAACAATGTCTTCTGGCCTGCCAGCCTTCATAACGCATCCTGCTTCCACTCTAGGTACACTGCTCCCCTTTTTATATATATATATGCGCATACACAACACATGTATTAAACAGATTATCTCTTCATTGCATCTATTTTCCATATATTCACCAAGAGACCATTTTCTAATACATGTTAAGAAGAGAGAACCCTTTTTGAACAAGACACTCCAGACCTGCCGTCCCGGTGCGACTGGGGGGCAGCGTAGGGCTGCCCGGTCGCCCTGCATGCGCCGTTGCCACAGTACCCAGTCTTGTGTTCACGTGGCCCCGACTCCTCAGCCACATCGACTTGCATAGAACATTGTGGAACCTGAACTGCACTTGTGTCTCTCATTTTCTTCGAATAATGATCATCACTATTTTAGTGAGCAAACTGTGAAAGGGGCTTTGGGGGGATTAGGAGGGGTGGGGTGGGCTGGGGTGGCCGTGGCCCTGCGTTGGTGGTGTCCCTGCATCTCTTCCTGTGACTGTCCTTGGCCAGCGCTGGGCCATGTATAGAGAGGGGTCAGAACGCAGCCACGGCCTCATGCTGGCCCTGCTTCACCTCCGCACGGGACCCCTCGTCCAAGGCCAGCAGCTCTGGGCGCGCCCTCGCCCGTGCTCACCTGCAGATTCAGCCGCTGCTTTGAGCCCAAAATGGGAATCTTGGTTTTGTGTCCAGGACTCGTTGCAAGCTTGCTGGTGAGGCTTGCAGAACCTCAAGACCAGATGCCATCTGCCTGAATGTTGACCTGCCAGTGGATGTGACCCTTCGTATTCCCCTCCCCGGACAGCGTCACCGTGAACATTAGCATTCTTTCTTGGTTGATAGTTGAGCAAACTGACATTACAGAAAGTGCCTTAGACACTACAGTACTAAGACAATGTTAAATATATTATTTGCCTCTATAACAATTTAATGTATTAAGTTTTGACTGTGTTTCATATCATGTACCTCTCTAGTCGAAGTGGTATTATAAACATTCAGTGACAACAAATCAGTGTTAATTACAAATCCTCGATCCTCTGCAATGTGCTTGACAACACAGACCTTTTGGGTTAAAAGCTTTAACATCTGTTAGGAAGAGTTTGTCCTGTGGGTGTGGAAGCCTGGGTTCCTAGCCCCTCCCCCTTATCAATTGTGCTGGCTGTTGACCACCAGACACCGACTGCAAATATCTTTTCTTGTATTCCCATATTTCTAGACAATGATTTTTGTAAGACAATAAATTTATTCATTATAGATATTCACGCCTGCTCTGTTTACTTGGTGGAAAAGCACCCATAGAGAATAAACAGACCTCAATAAACGAGAATAATCATGTGGACGTGGAATCTGTTCTATCCATTCTGTTCGCTTTCCCGCCCCAATGGCCAGGGGTTGGTGGTGCAGAGTTTTAGGATGAGGACAGCCAGGTACAAGCCTCTGAAGAGCTTTGCAGTTGGGAAGCTATTCAATGCCGGACCAGCTGGAGAGTCCTAGGTTCAAGTTCCCTTGACATCTGGGAGGGAAAGGTCGGAGGTAGGCCTAAGCCAAGAAAGAAACGTTCGGTGGAGCCGCTTCAGAATGGATTTAGTCACCAACCAATGCAGCTTGTTACTTTTTTTGGTTTTTGGTTGTTTTGTTTTTTTTTTTTTAAAAAAAAAAAAAGTTCAAGACACTTGGGCTACATTCATTTTGAATTACGATTCAGCAGTGTGCCCCGAAAGCTGCCTGTCGCATGGATCAACTAGGATGAGTTGAGTGACAGTCGGATAGAGAATGCCACTCACCCCAACCCCTGGGATAGTCTTGGGTTCCTTGCTGTCACACACTGAATGCTGGGGTGGCTCGGCTCTGGCTGATCTGAACGTCACAGCTTCTCAAATTGTCCAAGAGGAAAAACTTCAATCCTGTGGACAGATTCCAGCCCCTGGTTCCTTGCAGGTGCTAATCAGAAGGGACCTTTCTTTACTGCAGATCACTTTGTCATTGGGAAAAGGTGTTAAACCTTAGTGGGTGTTTGGACACAAGGAAGATCATTTGTGGGGAGTCGGCCCAGCAGGCGCGCAGTTTCACGTGCAGATGTGGGAGGGAGCGCTGGCCCTGCAGGTTCTGGATGCAGCTCTGCACCAGGCGCTGCTGTAAGGTGCTCTGCCCTTGACATGAGATGGGCACATCTTTTTAAAGGGTGAGGTATGCTGTAAGGTGCTCTGCCCTTGACATGAGATGGGCACATCTTTTTAAAGGGTGAGGTACAAACAACATGCAGCTCTGGTTGTGCTGTGCGTGAACTTCTATAACCCAGAAAGGCCCCTAGAGCCCATGCACATTTCCTTTCTGTCCCCTTTTCACCGTCCCTTGGGAATGTTAGTGATGTGCCACATTATGTCCCAGACAACAGACCCATGGCCTCTTCCTCCTGAAGCTAGCATTGCTGAGGAGTAGCTGTTCTGTCAGAACTGGAGCTAAAAACGGCTCACGGTTGTCAGGCTGTCATCCATTCCTGCTGCACCTTTGTTGTTGTTAAGCCGTCGACTGCATCGACTCACAGCAACCCCATGCACAAAACCTCTGAACCTGAGCCAGTATCACTGTCTCCAACACACTACCCCCATACCCGAGTCAACCCCTTTCATCCAGGGTCTTCTCCTGTGCTGTCGCTCCCTCCTTCCAAGCAATGATGTCCTTCTCCAAGGACTGGTCCCTCCTGGCAACAGGCTCAAAGTATGTGAGATGGAGCCTCAGCCACCTCTTACATTTAAAAAAAATAAAAATCCAGACTCTCAGGAAGTAGAGAGAATGGCCTCCCTAGTTCCAAACAGGATGGCTGAGTAAAGTGTGTGATTGGAGCTTGAGAAGACTAATTTACACAACCCTCCTGGTCATTTCAGGGGGAAGGGGAATGCCTCCACCCCCACCTTTCTAGAACATCTCTAAGACCTTGTCCACGCCGTGCACTTGCTGAATGCATGTTCCATATGCCCGTCAGAAGGACCAGGTAGGCTGTCCACTTCCATTTGTAGCCACCTTTGCAAGCCATGTGAAATGTCCTAGATGATTTGTATAGAAACATCTTGTGCAACAGCGAATGAATGGAAATCCAAAATCTCTGTAAATGTTCATTAAAATTAATAAAAAAAAATTTCTTATACCAGAGGCATAGTCACATACTGGCTTTCTAAAATGATGCTAATTACAGTACCTAGGTGTTAGAGAAGAGTACTAAATATCCCATGGACTGCCAAAAGAAGGAGCAGGTGTGTCTTGGGAGAAAGAACAGCCAGAGTGCTCCTCGGAGGCCATTCCTTGAAAAGGGACATCATGCTTGGAAAGGTGGAGGGTCAGCCAAAAAGAGGATGACCTTCAACGAGATGGACTGACACAGTAACTGCAGCAGCGGGCTGTGTCAGAGCTGATGAGACAGCACAGGATAGGGTGTTGTTCACAAGGTTACTATGAGTCATATGCAGTGACACAAGTGCAGTCTGCAGAGTTTGACTGTACTGAAGCAGTAAATGGGTTTTAGAAAGTCATGTTTGATTTATTAAGACACTAGTCTGTTAATTTTTCAAACCAGCCAACAGTGTCTCCCTCCCACCTGACTCTTCTGAAGCCTTATTCAGGCTGTAACGTGACAATCACTTAAATGCTGTGGGCTTGACTAAAATCTCCACAAAAAGCACCTGGTCTCCTCTGAGGCACCACGTTTCACTGAAAATGCCCCCCCCCTTTTTTTTCTCTCCAAATATGTCTTAACAATTGCTGACAGCTAGCTGGGGTTTGACGTGGTTGTCGCAGCCCATCCCTTCCTGGAAAGGTCAATGAAGTCAGCATCAGAACTTAACAGAATGGAGATCAGCAGCTCTAAGAAATTCTGGAGCCACTGGAAGATGCACTCGTGCACTTCTGGTGAGGCATCACTGGCACGCAGGGAACACACGGACAGGACAGGCCAAGTCCAACATGGACTCTGTGACATTCTGGGAATATCTTATTTGTGTGTGAAAGAGTAGACTGTGACGGGATGAAAATCCATCTATGAAAGTAGCTCTTGAAATAACAATAATGTCTACATGAGAGGCATTTTCACAGTTCTAAGTGGCACATTTTTCTTAATGGTTCAGAAAATAAAGGTCTGTCTGTCTTGTAATTTGGTGTCTTGAGTTTCCTGCCAGGTCACGTGTCATCTGGAAATCTGTATTGGGTTCCCAGGTCCTGTTTGTGATTACTGTACACCAACTTGGAACTCTGGCCTAGGTATTCAGGCCCATGAAAGAACCATCGCATTAGTTTATTTTACAGTACTTCATTTGGACAACTCTATGGAAAAGTATGTTTTTGTTAGGTGTCACCGAGTTGACTAGGACTCTGAAGGAAAGATGGAATCTTTTCCAGGTAAGTTTAGACGTGCAAACAGTAAACCATTCACATCTTCAGTTCCTTTCTGATCTTGTCAGTGACCACACATTTCCACGGCTCTGCCATTCGCATGCTCATCTCTCTGTTCGTTCCCCAGGACCATTTCCCATCACCCCCGTTCAGGTTTGCAGTTACCGTGTCTCGGGGATCTTGGTTTGTGGATGTGTACCAGGAAGTCCACGCTGACATGTAACTGACCCCAGCAGGTTTTCAGAGGCGGCAAATCACACGGGAGCTGACTGCCCATCTTATTTCAACAATAGAAATTTCTTGTTCTTACTACTTTAGGGTGTAATTCCCAAAATAGAGAGTTTTTATTAGCTTATATTGTTAGTGTTTTAAGACAGAGAACAATTTAGTGACATCATTATTATAAAAATGTCCCTAAATTTTAGATGGGAGTTGCTTCATTTTGGTATGTTCGTCTGTGGTTGGTTTCTTGATAGTCAAAACAACACTGTGGGCCTCAAGTCCAATAAGGACAAAGCAGGAGGGCTCTACACCTTGTCTGGCTGTTCAAGCATGTGCCAGGAGACCATGCCCTATGTGACCACAGCCTAGGAGACAATGGCCGAGGTGACCAGAGCCCAGATGACTATGACTCAGGAGACCACAACTCAGGCAACCAGTGCCCCACCCACAAATCAAGATCCAGGCAGGATCCCTGTATTAATGGCAGGTGGATAGTTAAATTTCTGTTCAACTGGCATGTTTCCCTGGGGAAGGCCTCAGCAATGACCAGAAACCCAAACATAGCTCTTATGGTTCAAAGGGAGAAAACAAGAGTCCAGACCCCACATGGGCCTCCCACGCAGGGAGCCCTGTGCTGCCCAGTTCCCTGCTTCACACTGTCTTGCGAGGGAAATCTGCCATCTTCATATTTATTTAAGATTACTTTTCCTTAAAACAAAAAGGACTTCTGGGTTCTTATACAGCAGTCATGGGGCTAGATTTCAAATTAGGTGCCCTAAGTCATAGAGGAAGACCCTCTATGAGATGGATTGATTCGGTGACTGGGGTAATAGGGATGGGTGTGTCAGAGGCGGTGCGGTTGGCGCAGGATAGAGCAGGGTTTAGGGCTGTTGTGCATAGGGTCGCTATGAGTCGGAAATGACTCGACGGCACATAACAACAACAACAAGTCATAGAAAATTATTTACAAATATGACTCCCTAACCACAGACCCCAGTGTCAGACCTATTTTTGAGGTTGTGTTATAGTGTATTCCCCATTTGTTTTACTCTTTGAGAAAAACATGTTTGTTTTTTTTTGGGGGGGGGGGGCGTGGGTGGAAGGATAATCATAGGCCTAAAAGGGAGAATGCAGAAAAGGACTCAGTATGTGTGGTTGAGTCACCTGCGACACAGTGACCCTATGTACAACAGCCCTAAACCCTGCTCTATCCTGTGCCAATTCTTACTGTCTCTGGCACACCTACCCCCATTACCTCAGTGACTTAATCAATCCATCTCATTGAGGGTCTTCTTCTCCTGCACTGTCCCTTCACCCTCCCAAACATGACGTCCCTATCCAAGGACTAGTCCCTCCTTGCAACATGTCCAAAGTATGTCAGACGAAGCTTCAGAATACTTGCCTCCAAGGAGCAGCCTGGCTTCACCCTCTCTAGGACGAACTTGTTTGTTCTCCAAGAAGTCCATGATATAATCAATAGTCTTCTCCAGCACCACAGCTCAAAGACATGAATTCTCCTTCTAACATCCCTAGTTACCATCTAGCTTTCTGATGCATAGCAAATAACTGCAAAGACCATGGCCTTTATCAGGCACACCTTAGTCTCCAAACTGACACTGTTGCTCTTCAGTACTCTGCAGAGGTCTCTGACAGGAGACTTTCCCCAATGCAATTCTTCTTTTAATTTCCTGGCTCCTGGTACCGAAAGTGTTGATTATGGAGCCCAGCAAACTGAAGCGGTTAACAATCTCGATCTCTTCACCATCCATCATGATGCTACAATCGGCCCAGTGGTGAGAATCTGTTCTCGTGATGCGCTTCTATCCATAGTAAAGGCTACAGTCCTTGACGTTCTGCAACAAGCACTGCAAGTTCCTCAGGTTCAGCAAGCAGGGTTGTATCATCTTCATAAAGCAGATTGTTGACTGGTCTTCCTCCAATCCTGATGTCACATTTCTCTTCATAGAGCCCAGCCTCCCAGATAATCTGTTCTGCTTATAGACTGCAAATGCATGGAGATAGGACACATCTCTGGCGTACATCCTTCCCAATTTTGAACGATGCAGTGTTTTCCTGCTCTGTTCTGATGACTGATTCCTGGTCCAAGTAACCATGATCAAGTGTTCTGGGATTCCTATTCTCCTCAGAGTCAGCCACAGTAGGCTGTGGTCCACACAGTCAAATGACTTTTCATAATCAAACACAGTCATTCCTCTGGTACTCCCTGCTTTCAGCCAAGATCCATCTAACACTAGCTATAATATCCCTAGTTCCTTGGTCTCTTCTAAATTCAGCCTGCACTTCTGGCAGTTCTCTGCTGATGTGCTGTTCCAGTCGTTTTTGGATAATTTTCAGCAGAATCTTAAAAAAAGGTTCATCTTAGCCAAACAGAAGACGCAAGTGCCTCGGACCATCCTGATTCCTGGCCTCATGCCTCTGTCAGCCAGGCTGTAGTTTTGTGTAAGTGGAAGGAGCCTGTTGGTCCCCAGGAAGCTGCCTTCCAGGGAGTTCTCAGGGGACTCTCTCTGGGCCCACTTCTTGGAGGCGGAGGGAGCCTTCCTCCAAAGCTCGCCATTCCAGGCATTCAAAATCAGCTCATCTGCTTGAAGTGCAAGACGGCCCACAAGAGCCAAGGCCAGTGGGCCTGCTTGGGAAGGCGGTAGGCCAAGACGAGGAGGCTTGATGCCTCTTCCTGTACTGGCTCTGCTGACCAGGCCTGTGAGTGCAGGCACACCAGATCTCTGGACCCACTTTCTCTGTAAAACCAGTTTGCCCAGGTCATTCAGAATTCCAACAGGCCTTTGCCAACTCAAAATCCCAGCTCTGGCTTCTGGCCCTTAGACTTGTTATGTGCTGTCAAGTGAACTGCGACTCACAGTGACCTTGTAAATGGAAGATCTACGTGGTATTCCCTATCCTGTGCCAACCTCATGGTCTCTGACACTCTAGAGCCAAATGCTACCAAAAGCTACCTTGCTAAGAATCTTCCTATCTTACACTGACCCTCCACTTTTCCAAGTGTGAAGTCTTCGAGAACTGACCCTTCCTAATAGCATGCCCAAAGTATGAGGCTTAAGTAGGGGCTAGGCTCTGGCAACTCTGGGCTGAGAAACTGGACTGCTGCCTGAGGAAGATGATCTGGGAAGGAGTGGTGGGGCTGGGTGGATGAGATGAAAACATCTGGAGACAGGCTGTTGAGAGGCTGTCCCTGGTCCTTTGGAAGATAAAGCCCCTCGAGCATGGGCACGGCCTGAGGCTTTATCTCTAGACTTTCAGTTACAGCTGCAAAGCTGTCACTCTGGCAGCCCGTGAGGCAAGGGAGGCAGAGGGCAGCCTTCAGCAAAGGGCAGGCAAGCAGTATAGAGATTTGCAGGCCAAGGGATAGTCTCTGAGCAAGGAAAGCAGCCAACTTGAGTTAACTCAAGACAACGCCTCCAGGAACTAGCTATTCCTACCCACACTCTTACAGAAGGAATTTCTGAATATTCCTTATTCACTCAGGAATTTAGTGTTTTACAACTGTAAGACAACTATATTGTTGACACTGTTTATCATAAGCCAACAGCACTGAGAACCAGTGGAGACATCCCCTCCCCCCATTCCTCAGTCCAGTCACCAAATGACATCCCCAAACATCAACCTGAGGAATGAGCCTTGTGTGCTGTCAAGTGGGTCAGGGCCCTCAGCGGGCTTTCTGAGGCTGTGGAACAGCCCAGGAAAAACTGCAGCTCGCTCAGCCAGCAGAGGGATGTGGAGAGAAGCTACATCTCGGTAACTCATCTGCGCATGAAAGCACACAGCTGGAACACCAGCACCATGAGGTCTGAGACACTTGGCCCGCTTCCCACCTGCTCTCTGTCCATCTACAAGTCAACATCAGAATAGGGGTGACACTTGACCTGGCTGTGTGCTCTGGCTCTTCTCTCAACCAATGGCAGGACCCCAATACAGCAATCTCAGACCTCCTTTTTTCTGTGAAATTTATTGTTTCCACATTAAAAGATCTTTCCTTTTTGAAGGGGAAGAGTTTTTTAACCACATGATGATCCAATACAGCTGCCCAGAGGAGGACACCTTCATAGTCATTAACATGCCATATGAGTTTTGAATAAATAAAAGCTACAAAGCCCAAGTTATATACAAATATCTTAGGCAATAATGTTTACAAACCTATATACAATAAAACAAATGTAAACAGTAAATGCAGCATGAGAGCAATCAAAGGATGTACAGGGACAACCACTGACTGTCTGTCCCCAGAGCCGGCCAGCCCCCCACCCAGAGGACAGCACGGCTTAGGGATCTCACCTGTGGAGAGAGGGCCGGACCCATGCCCCAGGCCCTGCTCTCGCTCAGGTGAGTCTGCTGCTGGGAGGCAAGTCTATGTGATGAGAACTGCTGAGTAAAATCAGAAGGTGCAGAGAATGATCCCCAGTTCAGTGAGCTGCCACTCAGGCAGAAACAGGCCCGGCTGGGGTAAGCCAGGCATTACGATGTCAGGGGAGGCTGGGAGGGCGCACACTGAGCTGATTTGGGGAGAATTTCTAGAAGATCTGCAATGTCCTAAACACAGCTAAGTCCTATCAGTACAGTGGGGGCTATGGGGCGGTGAGATGAATGGGTACTTCTGCATCCAGTGACCAAGTAATACAGGTACGTATCACCTTGTAACCCACAAAAGTGCAATCATGTGAAACCAACGGCACTACGGCGAGAAGAGAAAACAGCCAGTATTGATATCGCGCAGTCCTGGGGCTGGGCGGGCCTGCAGCTGCCACCGCATGCAGCCTGCCATCTGCTGGCCAGGGGACAGATGGCGGGGCCAGCCGGGCCCGGGCCCCGGGGTTGAGGCGTGGGTGTCCTGGGTGGTTGGAGGGCAGAGACCCCACCTGGAGCCGGCGCTCACACACTGAGAGGCAGCATCCCTGGGGCCGAGGACGGGCGCGAGGAGCCCAGGCCAGGTGGGGGCGGTGCTGGGTCAAAGCCGTTTACTGTCCTGTGGGGTAAAAGGCACAGAAGAGAGAGACTGTCATCACATGGCTCCACACAGTGCACAAAACTCATGCTCTCCAAACCTCCCTTTCCTGGCCCACACAGAACCCTGCTGCCCATGGTGGGTGGCTGCCTCCACTGGGGAGAGAGAAAAAAGGAGAACCAGGGAGTCCTCCCATCAGCTCAATCCTCGGGCCTCAGCAGACATACTACCTTCCTTGGGCTAACTAGGTGGAAATGCCTGGCAAGATGGGAAAACTTGGTAATGTGAAACGATGAAATGTTCTATAGCACTACTGCATTATTGTACATCACTATTACTTATCACCCTGTAGTCAGAACCAACTCACAGCTGACTCTACAGTGGGTTTCAGATGGTGTAAATCACATGGGAGTAGACTGTCCCTCTTTCTCCCAAAGGGAGAAGTGGATCTGAACCATCCACCTTTGAGTTGGCAACTCCTTACCCACTAGGCCACTAGAGCCTCCTGAGATGTTAATTTGCCATTGGAAAAAAAAAGACATTACAGAATTTTTAATAGCATGGGGAAATATTCCCAATTAATGTTAAATGGAAGGTTAACAAACTTGGTATGCTTAATGATGAGGGGTAAATAATAGAAATTCTGGATTCTAGACTATAAATTCAAAACTCGAACTTGTAGCTGTCGAGTCAGTTCCAACTCACAGCAACCCCATAACCGGGTTTCCAAGGATGTAAATTGTAAAGGGAGGAGACCACCCATTTCACCAGAGCGCGCTGAGGCCTCTGGGTTCCCAGCGCCAGTCTGTACAGACTACACTGCCAGAGCTCGCTTACACAGACAGGCATCATCATCTACAAAGTTCTATCTGGAAGGTGTGCGTGTGTTACATATGTGTCTAGCCACATATATATATACACACACACACGTGTACATAAAATATATCCTAAAAGAAAGGTTTTTAATATAGTTCTTTTTCTTCTGCGTGTGGGTTTTATTTCATTATGTTTTTAAAAATTATTTTCTAAATATACATAAATATCTCAATAAGGGGCAAAAAGTAATTTTAAATCTTCAGTATGAGGCTTCTCTGTAGACGCAGAGTAGCAGGTGAGCTGAGCCTAGAGCATACAGGAGGCTCAGCTCCAGGACCTCTGCTCAGTCCCCACCCTGCTGGTGCAGATTTGGGGAGCAGAGGGGAGTGTACACAAAGACCAACACCTCTCAGGAGACCACTTCAGCCTTTCTCTTCTGAAAAACCACCCAGGAAGCTTTGTCCTAGTAACATTTTGAAGGATGCAGCCTTTCCCCTAAGTGCCCATCACTATGCCAACCTGCAGGACTGGACTTGAGCATGGGGCCCAGGGTAAGGTTTCCATCTGTCCTGCAGAGCATCACGGTGAGTCAGAGTCACCTCAACAGCACCTAACAATGACCTGGCTACCCACTCATTACAATGCACAGAGTTTTAAATGTAGACTCATGCAGAAGTTCCCTTAAGAGAAAAAGGCAGACATGCATGCTCCCCACAAAGTCAGGTGAAGGAGTAAGAGCAAGCTCATAAGAAAAGCAGCATGCAGAGCAACAGATGAGCCCTGAGTGCTCTGGAGTGCTCCTGTCTCACTCTATGAGATTCAGAGCACTGGAGCAAGAAACCAATTTCCACATAGACACCAATTTCTAGTTTGGAATCAAGCCTTTCACATTAGACACAGATAAATACAGCATGGACCTTTTCCTTTTTGAGCTGCGTCTAATTCTTAAACATCGTCATTTGATCACCCCCATTTCCAAGGCTATGTCTTTGCATTACTAGGGGCAGAAACATGTCACGTACTAAGTTTCCATGTCCCCAGTGTCTGTTTCTCATAGAAACTCCAGGGAGAAAAGTCAGGCCTTATAGAAGGCCTCACACCTCACAAGGACGAGCCATGCCACAGAGCAAGGTGAAAAGGAGTCCTGCTGACACCAGGAAGGCTTCAGCCATTCCCTGGATGCAAAAAGAAGCAGCTGGGAGGATGGCTCCATATCCAGGCTTTGTGGATCAGGGCTGTTCCAGATAGATGGGTCACGAAAAGACAGCACATTCAATCTGGCAATTACAGGAATAAAGAAACCAAAGCAAGAGTCTGTCTAGACCTTAGCCTGGGGCACCCAGTGAGCCAGCCAGCCAAGAGGTGACAGGGCGCCCAGAGGTTATCCACAGCCCTCGGTAAGCGCCCAGCGCAGGTCAGCTCTAGCCAGGACAAATACACTGTGTAGCCGAGGATGCACACAGAGAACATGGAGTAAGGCGTTTTTTAAAACAGAAATGGAACTCAATATAAAGCTGGTAGAGGAGAGAGACAATCACCAAGCACCTCTCTTAAGAAGTAGGAAGTACAAGAGAAAGAACAAAGCCACTCACAGAGGTGGGACCACCTGAGGAGACTCTGAAGCTGTGCTGGGGGAAGGAGGTCAAGAGCAAAAACTTCCCTCTGCACCTGCCTGCAGCCAGAGCCAAAGGAAGATTTCCCCGAGGCCACACAGGCAAGGAGGAAACAGCAGGTCTGGACACCACCACATCCAAAGGTTCCTGGCACTGATTTCATCTGTCCACCCCTAAGGGAGGTGTTCAGATGCATCAAAAAGAGGGAAGAGAAGCCTCAGAAAAGAAGAAAGAAGTGCATTTAGATGCTAGTCAGAGTGAATCTAAAGCAAGAGAAAGGATGAAAATGCTCAATCTGTCAAAGAAGCCGGATGGGCAGAGGTGAGGAGCCACAAGGAAGATGACGAGGGTGTATCTGAGAGCAAACTCAGACAAGCAAGTGGACACCCTGCAGACCACACTCCTCCTCACTCATAAGGTAAAGCTCTGCAAACAGATGAGCATTTCACATGGAAGGCTCATCCACCATCGCAGGGTGCATTCAGAACACTAGAGCAGCCAGGGGGTCCGCCCACATCTCCAGGGTTGCATGAATGAATCCTGGCCCAGTCATGTCTATCAGATGCAATGTCAGGACCTAACAGGGACCCTCCCTCAGCTCCCCCAGGAGCTATACTCCCTACACCAGGAGGGCCACCAGGCATGACATCCACGACCGCTCCAGGACCACTGTAACTCATGTGCTTTTGTTGAAAAAGCTGAAATACTAATAATGCCATACAAGGAAGTCTCCACAATACAAGTGAGTTCTGTTCCCATCTGTGTTGACACTGAATTTGTAGGTAAGTTGGATCAAAGGGCTATAGCTTGTAACAAATATCAGTCATATGTTTCTCTTAGCATGCACAAAAAGCATTAAACACTTCTAGACACACCAAAACATCCTTACATAATAAATTAATAACAATAAAAGTTTTGATGCATATCACAAAACAGCATCTGTTTGTTATCACAAACCACTCTATACACCTCCAATTTTAACAGTAGGCTTTACTTGTGTGTACGGGTTGTGCCTATGTGGGGCTGTGGACAACTGAGGGATGGCCTGTACAGCTGTATCAAACAGCAAGGTGAGTGCTCATTCAGTTAAAGCTCAGTCAGCCTCAAGCAGTTAGTAAAGCCAGTTTCAGTTAACATGTCTTCCACCACACACCATGATTAGAGAATGCGAAATAACACAACAAACAATTCAGTTACCCATGAACAACGTGGGGAATATGACTTTTTCTTGCCTAATAAAAAAAAAGGGAAAAAACATTAAACAGTAACACAGATACTTTTCACACCACACCCTATACACAGCCCACTACACATACTTAGCCCAAAAGAAATCAGACAAGTTTAAAAAATTATTTCTCAAGAGAAATCAGATAGGTGCACAAAAATACGGCAAGGGATATTTAAGAAGCTAAATAAAAGCTGTAAGAAAAGAATGTTTTTGAGAGGACTCCAGTAACTGCAGTCCATGTACAAGCTGCACCTTCTTTATGAGGAAACGAAAGGTCATTAGTGGGTGGAGAAGAGGAGCAATTGCCAAAGACAGACTAGATAAAACGCCGATTCCGTGACAGCTCACATATCCCCAATTTAGGACATGTTTCTGAATACCTTACAGCTAAACATATTAATACCTTAAATCTTAGCTTTGTATAAGACACAGAGCTGTCTGCAGTGAGGTTTCAAGGTTCCTGAAGAGTCCTGGGGGGTGTGAGGGGCGCATGTCACATGCATATTCAACACACACACAAACCCCACACTGAGCAACTCTCTGCTCCAAACACCTCCCTCTAAGGTCTCCAGAAGCACTAATGAAACCCATGACAGCAGTACAGACAGACTGCAAGCCCCATCTAGGCCTTTTTCTGTAAGAACGTCTGTGTTTTTCTAAAACCTGCCAAATTTAATAATGGTGCAGTGGTGAGATGGTTTCTAATCCCTTCTTTTTGTAGCCACCACTACCATCTTGGTTTTATCTAGTCAAAAAGTCAGCAGGAAGAAAAGCCAGGCAGGTCAGAAACACAGCACAAGTGCAACACAGCATGAACAAAGCCCATGTAGTAAGTGTCAGGAACACAGATAAAGAAACGCAAGCACTAGGTTAATACTTGTACACAGATGTACAAACCAATCATCATAAGCATTCAAAAAAAGGCCAAGCTCACAAAAGCATACTTAATTTTTAATGTAAACAGTACAATATGAAATTAATACTAATTAAAATGAAAATCAAATGTTTATTGTTCCTACTGGGAAATTCCTTTCCAGTTTCAGGTCAGGACACAGCATCTCCACCTGCATCTACAATCTCCCCAGAGGTCAGGGGTCAGTGGACAACCAGAACAGGCCCCTTGGCTTCAGGTGACAAGGAATTCTCTCCACCTCCCTAAGAGTGAGTCAGCTCCAGACAATCTATCCCAGGCACTCTGCTGCAGGGTTCACAAGGGAGCTGTCCCTCAGGAAGCAGTGCTGTCCCCACCTCCTCATGATTTCCTAAGACATCAGTCCGGCCATCCATCATCCAGGCTCAGGTCTGATCACACACATCAAGAAGAACAAGCTCACCAAAAATAGAGGGTAACCCCAAGTAGCCAGGAAAATGGACCCTGCTCCCGACACTCATAGAGGCACTTCACTTTCTCTGCACCATCTGGGAGAAACGGCAGCTCTAATTTGAGACTATTTACCCTAGGAGTGATGAAAATCCTTTTTGTACTTGTCCCACCTGAGGAATTCCAATAGTTTTAAGTCCTTATTTATATAATGGTATTTTTTTTAAAATTTTATTATTTTTTGTGTGTACCGTCAAATCGGATCTGACTGGTACAGGAGATTGTCCCTCTTTCTGCAGCAGAGCATCTGGTGGATTGGAAACGCACACCTCTGGAATTACAGTACAGCTTCTTGCCACTAGGCCACCAGAGCTCCCAATATAATGGTATTTTAATGGAACTATGCCTTTAATGAACTGTGCATACTCCAGAGATGAACCTGATACCCCATTCTAAAAGGATGGGCAGCAAGAACCTTTTAATAACTGTTTCTCAAACTGAGTGCTCCATGAACACGCCAAAATGACTGAGGAGCACAGAAATACAAGGTTCTTTAAGGAGTTATGTACATTTCCAGAGTTCTATCTGTATTACATTCACAGAAAACGGCTTCTACAACCCAAAAGGAGAGACAGGGCAAAGGGGCCTCACGTGCTCTCTGACCACAGGTTCTAACTAGTTGTCTAATTTAAGGCATACCCAGACAAGAGTATGTAGTATTTTAAAAATTAGTTCCTTTGTATCCCAGGGAACACAAACATGGGAAATGCTCCTAAAACCTACCTGACTTTCCATAAGAAGTGGGGCAAGTACCAACCCCAGAGTAAAAGAAGGGCAAAGATTCTTGATAGGCTGGGGAAAGCAGCATTATCACAGGAAGCAAAGGGATACACTGGCTGACTAAAGGGGTTTTTGAAGAAAACTAATACTACTAAGAAGATTAGGTGGATACTTGAGCTTGTAAGCCCAAATGCAGATCTAACAGAATGAATGCTGGATATGAAGAGATGTAAGATTACATACTAGGAGAAAAAAGGACTGAAGGATCTAGTTCTAAGTTTCTTCTTATTATGAAGACAATAAAAACTTGAGTTTATGTTCACTTTTTAAAAGGGGGGAGGGAGTCCAGGTGATATGTACTGACACAGAAATTCCCTTGGTTATATAAATCATGACAGGCCATGTTGAGAAACATTAAAATATTTAAAGCAATAATAACCTAGGAGTAAAAAGAAAATATCTATAGCAGCTGCCTAAAATATGGTTTTACATGCTCATAAAAACCTCACTGCGGCCAAGTCAGAACTCACTCACAGCTGACCTTCCAGTGTGGGTTTTTGGAAGATCTCCCTCAGCACTGTTCAGGCAGCAAGTGAGGTACCACCAGCAGCACAGCTCCCTATGGACTAGGCCATCAAAGCTCCATAGTTTAACTAGCATAAAAATAACCACACTTAATATAGAATATATTATATAAGGACCTCTGGTGTCTTAGTGGTAAAGAATTAGCACTGTCAATCCAAAGGTTTATAGTTTAAATCCATGAGCTGCTCAGTGGAAGAAAGGCAGGCAATGACCTCCTGTGAAATTAACTGCCTCTGAAACCCACTGCAGAGTCAGCTATGGGTCCCGTTCCACCACAGTGGAACCAAACAACAATAATATAGAATGTAAGCAGTGTGAGTGATACCAGCACAGAAAACATTATCTTTTCACTTTATATTTCTATCATATAAAGGCTGTTCTTTTCTAATCTGTATTTGATCCAGTGTCTAAATATTCAAAGGCTTTGTATTTTTTAAGATCTTTACAAGATATGTGGAAGAGCCCACATATACTTTAAAAAATACGTGCTAGGAAAGCTACTAGCCCATAAGCACCACACATCATAGTCATCTTTACTCCCTAAAGCCCGTCACTGCCGCCTCACATGACTCCGCTTGCAGTACAGAAGCCCCAGGCTTACAGTTCCCACAGCAACAGAATCCATGGGGAATAAAGGCAACAAAAGATTTCCTATCTCCTAAGATGTGAATGACAACAGGCTCTAAGTCAGTATTTCAAACTGCATCTACATTCAAAATGTCAATAAACGGACTTAAAAATCTACAGCTTTTTTTTTTGAGTAGTAAACTCAAAAGATTACCATTTAAAATCTCCAGGACTTACCCTTTATCAAAGAATGACGTATGCCCTGACCGAGAGAACTTTGTGCCATTGCTGTTCATCACTCCGCAGTTAACATTCCCTGAAATATAGGATTTTCGTGATGCTTGGTCCTTTGCAAAATTTCTGCAAGCTGCTAATTTGGATTCTAAAGCCTAGAAGGAAGAAGGAATGAGGCGATTGTCAAAACAGTAGAGGTACATATAAATTTACATTTCAAATCATTTCTATTTCAAGCCTCAACTGTCCCTCTCTCAGATGATAATGGTGACTATTAATTACAATCATTCACTTTTCCACAGAAAATGTTTACACTGACTCCTTTTAATTAGCTCAGAATATTTATTCCTCTCGGAACTACTGAGCAATGCAGATAAACTCACAGCTCAGAAAAGTGTAGCACAAAGGGAGTGTGAGGCACAGTGTCAAAATGAAAATGGATGATGAAAAGGACAAATCAAGGGATGTGTACATTTTTTTAATCCACAAGGAAAGCAACTGAATGATCGAATGAAAAATTAAGCTAAATATTTCAATTCATAAAAAAAAATTTAAAACCAGATGCTTGAAATATTTTTTTTGAGCTACACAAATATCATGACCTAAGAGCCCGAATACTCTTCCATGATTATACACTAAATAGCATTTGTTATTGACTAATTTTCAATTTTCAGAATCAACCAATAAAAATTCAAAAAAAGAAAAAATGAGAGAGGAAAAACCTAATATGCTTGTTTTTCTGAGTACAGGCCATGGTCTTCACAATTACTTGCTAAACATCAGAAAGCTGGACAAAGACTAGGATGACAGGAGAATTGATGCCTTTGAACTGTGGTGCTGGAAAAGAGTACTGAATATACCATGGACTGCTAGGAGAATAAACAGGTTCTTCACAAGAGACTCAACAGGACATAATAACAAATTAACTATCATTAAACAGAAAAAGGAGGAATTTCTCTCACCTCTTCAATTTTTAATTCTTGATCATGTTACACATTTTTGTAAGTTAAACCTCAATTACTGAATTGTTACACTAATTTTCAATTCATTAGGCTGTATCTCAACTCCTGTGTTGTTATGTGCTGGAAAGTCAATGCAGACTCATAGTGGCCCTACATAAAACAGCTCTGAACTCTGCTCTATCCTGAGCCAATTTCATCATCTCTGACACACCTACCCTCATTACCCTAGTCTCTGAGTCAATCCATTTCATCCAAGGTCTTCCTCTCTTGTGCTGTCTCTCTATGCTTCCAAGCATCATGTCCTTCTCCAAGGACTAGTACCTCCTTGCAACATGCAAAGTGTAGCCTGGTTTCACCTTCTCCAGGACAGACCTGTTTGTTCTCTTGGTAGTCCATAGTATAGTTAATACTCTTCTCCAGCACCACAGCTCAATTCTTCTATCATCTTTAGTCATTGTCCAGCACTCTGTTGCTATGCAAGTAATTACAAAGCCCATGGCCTGGATTAGGCACACCTTGGTCTTGAGACTGACATCACTGCTCTTCAGCATTCTGGAGAGGTCTCAATTTCTAAATGTAGTTTGTCTTTTGATTTCGTGGCTACTGGCACCAAGAGGTTTGATGGTGGTGCCAATCAAGCTGAAGCTATTTACAATCTCAACCTCTTCACAGTCTACCATGATGTTGCCAATTGGCCCAATGGTAAAAATCTTTGTTTTCTTGATGTTGATCTTCAATCCATATTAAAGGTTGCAGTCCTCAACCTGCAGCAAATGCATCTGGTCCTCCTCAGTTCTGGCAAGCAAGGTTGTGTCATCTCCATATCACAGATTTTTTGATGAGTATTCCTCCAATTCTGATGCCACATTTCTCCTCATAGAGCACAGCCTCCCAAATGATCTGTTCCACATATAGATTGAAAAGATATGGAGATGGGGTATATCCTTGGTGTATACCTTTCCTGATTTTGAACCATGCTGTTCTGATGACTGCCTCCTGGTCCCAAGTACAGGTTTCACATAAGCACAATCAAGTGTTCTGGGATTCCCATTCTTCTTAAGAGTTACCCACATATTTTTGTGATCCACAGCCAAATGCCTTTGCACAGTTAATGAAACATGGGTAAGACATTTCTCTGGTACCCTATTCTTTCAGCTAATATCCATCTAACATTAGCTATTATGTCCCTAGTGCCATGGCCTCTTCTCAACCCAGCCTGCACATCTGGCAGTTCTCTGTTGATGTGCTGTTCTAGTCGTTTTTGGATACTTTTCAATTCTGATACTAAAGTACAGATATAAATATGACAATTCTTACAAAAAACAAAACAACTAGTTACTTTGGAAATAGGAAAAAATTATTCTATGAATAATGTACGTGTATGTTATTATTGTGTACCACTGAGTCAGAACCAACCCATAGCTGACCCTCCAGCAGGTTTTCAAAGGCAGTAATTACACAGGAGACTGTACATTCTTCTACACTGCAGCAGCTGATGGATTGAAACCATGTGCCTTTGGGATTGCAGTACAGATTCTTACCACTAACTTTTTCTATATACGTTGTTGTATGTCACTGAATTAGAACCAACCCATAGCTGACCCTCTGGTGAGTTTTCAGAGACAGTGATTCATAAGGCATGAGACTGTTATCTTTTTCCAGAGCAGTTGGTGGATTTGAACCGTGTGCCTTTAAGATTGCAGCAGTTTCTTACAAGTAGGCCGCAAGAGAATCCTTTCTTTCTTCTCTCAACTCAAATTATGAAACATTCAATACCTGGCAGTTGAAAATAACTCTTGATAGAGAATTAAATGCTTACCCCTACTTTCCGTAAGAGATCTCCCACAATATTCAGTGCTGATATCCTGGCAGAAGGAGTCAGTGGACTGGTACCAAAACCATTTGGTATAGCTAGAGGAAAAAAAAGAGTAATCATACTTGCAATCCCCTTGTATGTGGGTTGTGTTGCTGATGTTACAAAGTAACCCTCATTGCAAAATCAGTATAGTACTCCAAACTACTAGGGAAGGTATCCTAAGCAAGATTAACCATTGCCCAGTGAATGGAGTAGTTGGATTACAACCACTGCTTCATATTAAATAATGCTAAAACTACACATACCCATAAAAACGTAGAAAAGTATTTCTAGCGAACAGATTCCTGAAATTGGTGCTGGAAGATCAAATGGTATGCTTTATTTTTTTTTCATCTTAATAGTTATTGTTGTTGTTGTTATTGCTGTCGAGTCATAGGCCACTCATGGTGACCCTACGAAAGACCTGAACATTTGTATAACTTTCATCATTTCTCCAAGTTCACAGGGTTTCCGGAGGAGGCAAGCTATTTCAGAAGTGGATGCCACTTCTGCTTCCAAGCTTGTTTTAATTGGGGAGCTCCACCAAACACTGTCCACCATGGATAATCAATATCACATTTGACACATCAGTGTCACAGTGTTTAGCATCACAGTCACCAAGTAGCCTGAGTAACCTCTATAGAGCAAATGGACAGATCAGTGCTATATCACTTAGAAGAATGTCTGACCATCAACAATTAAAACCAGGTCCTCAGGCCCAAATTTCTTTTCCAATTAGAGGCTGAATACAATCAACTCACACCCAATGGTGAGTAATCATTCCACCCTAAGCCTCACTAGAACTAGCAACAAACCTCTATAGAATCCGGCAGCTCCAGATGTCTTCCCAATCTGGATTCCAGCCCCATAGTGGTGACCAAATGCTATTATAAATCCCCTCAAAAGGTCACATCAACAACAGTAATGTTCTTTGGTACTGTCCTCAATAACATTAAATATTTCTACTCCTTCCCCCATCTCAATCTGAAGTTTGCAGATTTGTGATAAGCAGTCCTTTGAATCTCTTCTGGGAATCATTTGTTCATTCTCTGCTCTTGCTTCATTACAACCCATCTTAAATCAATATAATCCACCAGAGCTTCAAAAAGGAAAGATACCACAAACCTTTTGGTGAAGGAAAACTGTTTTCTGTTCCTTTGCCAACAGGTGTAGCTGGCAATGAAAGTGAGGCTTGGACAGCAGAATCCATCTTTTCACAGTCGAGAGTTGGAGAACTGGGGGCCGACTTTCTGGTTACTTCCTGTTGCCTTTCCCGAACTGCTAGTTCTTGTCTTAAATCTGTAAAATGTTGCAAGGGAGTAATACTCACTATAGGAAACAGACATATCAAGCCAAAGCCACAGCTGAAATGTCATAAACATATTTTCCCTAAATCACTAATTTTTAAAAATAAAAAAATTGCTTTCCTATTTAACAATTTTCATTTACAAAGGTCTCTACCATAATGAGAAATAACCACCTTATGGCCAAATACTATTTTGTTATTGCCTTTTTGTGCCACTGAGTCAGAAATGAACCACAGCTGCCCCTATAGTGGATTTTCAGAGGCAGTACATCTCATGGAAGGAGATTTGTCCATCCTTCTCTGGTGAGGGGAGTGGAATTGAATCTTACACCTTTAGGACTACAGTGCAGGTTCTTACCACTAGGCTCCCTAAAACTCTTTTAGAATTTAAAAATGCTGTGTAATCAATTGGTAAAGTAGGAAGTCACTGACAAAGAGGAGACTCCTCAACAGGACAGGCTGCACAGAGGGGGAGACAATGACTGCAGTGTGGTGGTGAGGAGGCTGCCACAAGCCCCGGCAGATCTCGTGCTGTCATACACAGGGTCAATGAGTGGGAACTGACTCACCAGCATGCAACAAGAGCACATAAACTCTGAATGAGAACAGATGCTGACAGCCAGTGGGTTGAGTTTAATTTTTATAAAAAAACAGAATCAAAAGTAGAACTAAGAGTGAAGCTAGGGGACACAAAAATAAATACTCTTTGGCAACCCATTTTATTTTGAAATGGTATCATTTTTAAACTACAACAAAACCAATGTAGAATGTTTTGTAATTTTAAATGGTGGTATATTTTTACTAATACCATGAAGTAAGTATTTTATTTTAGAACATATTCAGAACCAAGAATGTTGTTGTTGGGTGCCATCAAGTTGACTGCAACTCACAGCAATCCTGTGAACAACGGTTGCATCTGTTTCCTGCAACACCTCAACTGGATCCAAGAAGATTGTTGTTAGGTGCTGTCGCACAGAGTATGTCTCATACCGACCCTATGCATAAATAGATCTGAACCTTGCCCTAATTCTGTGCCATCCTTATCATCTCTGATAAACCTGAGCCCCTTGCTGCAGTTACTGTGTCAGTCTATCTTGTTGAGGATTTCTGCTGACCTTTCCAAACATGATGTCTTTTTCCAAGGACTAGCCCCTTTTAACAATATGTAAGTAAGTATGTAAGACGAATATCGTATGTGCTTAGGTACTGTTGAGTCTGAATCGACTCCTAGCTGACCCTCCAGCTAGTTTTCAAAGGTAATAAATCGCAAAGGAGGAAACTGCCCATCTTTCTCCTGTGGAGCCACTGGTTGATTCAAACTGCCAGAAAATCACCATCTTTAGTAGCAGTGAAACTTCCCTACAGATTACACCACTAGAGCTCCACAAAGAACTATCAATTAAAACAGTAAGATAGCTGTCAAACAGATGGTCTTTTACTTCATTTCTTAAGTATATTTTTAATATTAGCAATGCTGGTAAAGAGAGTAAGGACATTAGAACACTGCAGAGAGAGTATAAAAGTATCAACCTATTTAAATAGTAATTTATCAATGTGTATTATGACCCTTTATATACTCTGCCTTATCAAAGAAACTATACTAATGAAATCATCAAAGATACTCCTATATTATCCTACCAGGAAGTTCTGGTGGCCTAGTTCGTATAGAGTTGCACTGCTAACCCAGAAGCTCAAATCTACCTGTGCCTTCGAAGGAGAAAGATGGGCAATCTCTTTCCATGTAGTTGCAGCTTCAGAAATATCAAGAAAAAAATAATTTGAGAGTTTGCTGTTTTATTTGGTTTTTTAAAAATGTATGTTATAGGCCAAGATTACATTCACAGCACTATTAATAGCAAAAAAAGAATTTGCAGTATTAAAAGGCTCATTAAATAAAACAGAACTGAATAATATAACACTTTTAAAAATCATGTTTTTAAAGGTTTTTTAGTGATGGTAAGTGGCCAGAAACACACTAAACTATTAATGAAATCTCCCTATATAAAGAACTGGCAGTGACTTTTATCTTTTTTTTTTTTTTAATATGCTCCATCCTACCATCCATAAACCAAAAAGAATAGGAACATTGTAAATAAATACTCATTGTACTCATAACAGGTATGTATGTATACACTTATAATGCTATTCCTTTCAAAAGACCAAACTGTTCATGTGGAAGCAATTAAGTAAAAACAAAAACAAGCCAAGGATCACATGCACAATGATAAGTGGCCAAAGCTCTGGAATATAGATCAGAGTTTTAATTCTAGCAAACTAGATGTAATCTTGGGCAAAACTCAGACTCAGCAGTGCCTCAGTTTTTTTATCAATAAAGTGGAGAAAATAACACCTAACGCAAAAGAATGATGTAGGTATCAAATAAATTACTAGAGTAAAGAAGCACTTAATGTAGGGCCTAACAAACATGCATGTGTATCCTAAAAAAAAAAACCAAAAACAAAACCCAAAACATTTGATCTGTAACTTAGTTTATTTAGTACTCTGGCTTACGGATAGAAAGGTAAGATAAATATTGCTTAAGTTATACATTTTACCTCTTGCTTCATCCTTTAACCTCTGTACAGATACCAATAAAGATTCTTTTTCATCAAGTTCACTTTCTAAAAAGGCATTTCGTTCAATGGCCTGATTTAGTCTTTGTTCAAAGTCTTCCAATGAAACTATTGTTGCCCTAAAAAAAAAAAAAGTTGAGCCCACAGATTAAATATGTAACACATGCAAAAATACAAAAAAGAAAGTAAGTTATCTCCTGCCATTTTCTGACTTAGCAAAGTTGGTCCTATTCAAAGAAAATGGTCTCATCACTTTTTGACCTCCAATAGCATCTAATGATGACATACATGCTTGCTGAAATGAACTTGAAGCACTTACTGATGAAGTTCAAAGATTATAGCTTTCAATATGGGTTAAACCTCAACCAATAAAGGCAATGACCTTAAAAAAAAAATAAAAAGACAACATCATGGAAAAAAAAAATTAAAAAAGTTGTCAAGAATTTCATTTTACTCAGCTTCACAATCAATACCCATGAAAGCAGCAGTCAAGAAATCAAATGGCCCAAAATCAATCTCCATAATAGTCTATGTGTTTCCTACTGCCAAAGGGGCCCTTTAGAGTAGTGAGAGAAGACCTTCACCCTGAAACCCACAGCGTCCCTTTTCAGCAGGAAGTAGCTAAGAGAATACGCCATCCCCTTTTCCTTATGAATCAGGGTGAAGTCTCCCTCAGGGAGGAGTGATAGGGAATGGTAAGGGACACACTGACAAAGGAGATTAATCAGAACTGGCTTTGACAAGCACTGTGGCAATTGGACAATTAAAACAGACATGGGGGGGGAAGAAGAACGAACTGGGGAGGAGGGTGGAGAAAACAGTGTAACAATGAATGAATGAAAACCCAAAATCTCTGTAAATGTTCATTAAAACTAATAAAATTTAATAATAATAAATTTTTAAAAAAAGAAATCAAATGGCATATTGCTGGACAATTCTGCTGCAAAGGATCTCTTTAGAGTGCTAAAGAGTAAGAATGTCACTTTGAGGACTAATCTGTGCCTTATAGGATATTTTCAATTACCTCCTATATATCTAAAGGAGTTCTGCTGGGCTAGTGCTAAGAAGCTGCCCTGCCATCCCAAAGGCATGCTATTTCAAATCTGTCAGCTGCTCCACAGGAGAAGGGGGGCAATCTCCTCCTATATGATTTACTGCCTCTGAAAACCTGTTAGAGTTCTGCTATGGTTCAGTTTATGGCTTGATGGCACACAATAGTAACAAATGTATCTGAAAGTTAGATTATGAATAAGGAAGCCAAAAGAAATGACCCTTCTGAATTGTGGTGTTAGCAAAGAACATTGACAATTCCACTCAATGTCCAAAATGCAAACTAATCTGTCTTGGAAGAAATGAAGTCAGAATGTTCTATAGTTGAAAGAGTGTTATCAAGGGTTGCCAGTTCCTAGAGGATACTGTGCATAGCAGGGAGTCAGAAAATAGAGGGCACTCAATAAGACAGGCTAGCACAGTGGCTGCAACAATGCACATAAGCAGGGATGTGACTGTGACAAAAAAATGCAGGATCAGGCAGTCATGTTTCAGGCCATTGCATACAGGTATCCTTAACATCAGATTCAACTTGATGGTGCCTAACAACAATATATTCTCTTAAATCATCATCTAAATTCTTTTTAAGTTCCTTAAAAGAAAGACATTTATTATATACTTTATAAAGCAAAGTTTATTCTATTTCAGGAAGAAAAGTTTTCAGTAGTTTTGGAGTATATAAATATTAAAGAGGAGTTTGTTTAAAATGCAAAGTCTCAGGTCTTACTGCAAAGTTTTAAGTCTGGAATGAAGCCGAGAACTGTTCATTTTTAACAAGTTACACATACAAAGACAGGCAGTTGATTCTAAGGGCATTTTGAGAAATACTGACCTATATGCTTCCGGCTCCCAAACGCATACCTCTAGCTAGCTATAAATGCCTTCAAGAACACTAGATTTGTTTTCAGTTTCTTAGAAATAATTTAAATTTTAAAAGTTCCTTTAAAAGGAGCTAATGCCTCAAATTCATGACTAAAATGAAATTAATTTATATCCTGCCCTTTTCTTCCACTTACATTTCTCCTTGTTATGTGCCATCGAGTCACCTGTGATTCATAGCAACCCTATGTACAACAGCTCTGAACCCTGCCCCATGCTGAGCCAATATGTCTCCAACACACCCGCCCCCAGTCACTCTGTCATTCCATCTCATCTCGGGTCTTTGTCACCTGTGTTGTTCCTCTACCCTACCAAGCATGATGTCCTTCTCCTAGGACCGGTCCCCACCTCCAACATGCCCAAAGTATGTCAGATAATACTTCAAAATCCTTGCCTCCAAGGAGCAGCCTCGCTTCACCCTCTCCAGGACAAACCTGTTTATTATCTTAGCATTCCATGGTATACTCAATAATTTTCTCCAGGACCACAACTCAAAGGCTCCAATTCTTCTATGATCTGTAGTCACTATCCAGCTATCTGGTATGCAGCAGGTAACTGTGAAGACCTGGATTAGGCACACCTTAGTCTCTAGACTGACAACTTTATACTTTGGCACTATGGAAAGATCCCTGATAGCAGACTTTCCTAATGTAATTAATCTTCTGATTTCCTAGCTATGTTTGCAAGAGTATTAACTGTGGACTTGAACAAGCTGAAACTGTTAACAATCTCAATCTCTTCTTCATCTATCATGGTGCTGCCAACTGACCCAGCGGTGACAATCCTTGTTTTATGTTGAGCTTCAATCCATATTGAAGACTATAGTTCCTTTCTCCTTACTCATTCAATAAACAGTACTCAAGAGCAACGGTGTGTCTCTGGAGACTAAGGTGTGTCTGCTACAGGCCATGGTCTTTGCAATCACTTGTTATGCGTCAGAGAGCTGGACAATGACCAGGAAGGATAAAGGAAGAATTGATGCTTTTGAGCTTTGGTGTTGGAGAAGAGTGCTGAGAGTGCTATGGACTGCTAAAAAAAACAAACATATTTGTCCTGGAGAGGGTTAAACTGGCTTGCTCCTTGGAGGCAAGGATTCTGAGGCTTCGTCTGACATACTTTGGTCATGTTTTAAGGAGAGACCAGTCCTTGGAGAGAGACATCATGCTTGGGAGGGTGGAGGGCAGGCGCAGGAGGGGAAGGCCCTCTGGGAGATGGATTGATTCAGTGACTGGGGCAATCAGGATGAGTGTGTCGGAGACAATGAGATTGGCACAGGACAGAGCAGAGTTTAGAGCTGTTGTACATAGGGTCGCTATGAGTCGCAAGCAACTCGAGGCACATAATAACAACACAGCTATTTGCTACAAAAGTTACTTCCCCGCCTTCAAGTTCATACTCTTAACACTATGAACAATTTTATCATGTCTTGTCAATTGCAAAAATTTCTCTCAAATAAATTTCCTCTTCTCTAACACTTGCCACTGATTTAAATCGTAATCAATCACCTGCAATACTCCTCAGGGGTCTCTGTATTTCCTCCTGCCTACTTCTAATTTCCCAATTATTTCCAAATCTAAATATGCTATAACTCTTTTATTTAGAAAATATTAAAGAGCTCTCCATTGCCTACAGAATGACTGGTTTTGTTATAAATTTCAATGAACATTTACAGAGATCTTGGATTTTCATTCATTCACTGTTGCACTTCTCACCCCGCCCACCTAAACCCCACCCCCCAGTTCACTCTTCTCCTTGAAAAGCAAACGAAAAACTCCTTCATTGGTATATAATCCCCCTGCACTCCGCCACCCCCACCCCGAGAATACTCCACTCTGCAACCATCATTCCGAACTCTTATGATAATCCTAATGCTTTTTAATATATTGCTTTTTTTAATATATTTTTTAATATATTGCTTTTAAGCTGTTCTCTCCCTCATCAGCTTCAATGCAGTATACATAACTCACTTTTAAACATGGTAGAGAAGAGAAGGCTCTTTATAACCCGATCCAATCACTTTCAAATCACAATGATGTCTATACACTTCAATCAAAGTAAAATATTAGTACTTCATGTCATATTAAGTTTACCTGTCTTTGAGTCTCTCTTTACCTAGTCAACATCTATTCTTTTTTTAATTGCTATTTTAATGAAAGTTTATAGAAAACTTAGATTTCATTCATTCATTGTTGGACATTTTCCTCCCCTGTTAGCTTTTCTTAAAAAAAATTCATTCATAATTGCACAATTTCCTCCCCAACCCCCAAGTCTACTTTGTTATGTACCTCTTATTCTGGACTGTTGTCATGCAAATACCTCATCATATATTTTCTTAAAGAGTTCTCTATTCTTTCTTGTACAATTGGCTCTACTATCTGCAAAGGCTGTTCCAGTTCCCCCAGGAGCTGTAGCTGCTCCTTCTCTATGCCCTGGAGTACCTAGTACACTTAGTTTAGTGGAACATTTATCACATTTCTATCTGTCACATCCTTAAGGGTAATGAGTGGCTTATCTTTCTAGCCTCAACCCTAGAGTCATGATTACCACTTAGGAGTTAGTCAATAAACATCAAGGAAAGAAATACCGATAATAATTATAAAGCTACAGGAAGCAAGGTTTTTCTGTTGGGCTTTTAATTTTTTTTATTATTTTTGTTTGTGTGTGTGTGTGTGTGTGTGTGTGTGTGTGTGTGTGTACCATCAAATCAGATCTGACTGGTTCAGAAAGAGATTGTTCCTCCTTTCTCCAGCAGAGCATCTGGTGGATTTGAACCGTGCACCTCTGGGATTGCAGTACACCTTCTTGCCACTAGGGGCTTTCTTTAAAATAAATTTTTATTTTATACTGGTTTGCTTACAATGTTCATATAAACTGTTTTTCACACCAGATCTTTCCCACTTCCTTTACCCAACCCTCCTAACCTTTAAATTGTGCGACCCTGTGAGGAATCAAGCTTTAAAGAGTTAAAGAAACAACTAATTATAGATATATGTAAGTTTAGCAAAATGACAGCAAGCCTTTATATAGATGGTTAAGTCTAATCATAATGGATTTTCAGAAAATCCATCCATCAGAAGAAAATGAAAAAAGGAGCTAAAGTGTAAAGACTAGATAGAAAATAACTAGTTAGGAAATAATAGACTAGTTAGGAAATAATAGACTAGACAGGAAATAATCTCTGAAATCAGACAAAAGAGGTAAGTATAGCAGTATTAAGAATATTGAGGAATGGGCCCATCAACAAACGAATGGCTAGAGAAGCTGTGGTATATTCAATGGAATACTACGCAGCATTGAAAAACAAGGAACTCATGCAATATTATTCAAAGTGGGTGACCCTGGAGGACATTATGCTGAGTGAAATATCTCAGTCACAAAGGGACAAATACTGCATGGTGCCACTGTTGTAGAATGGGTATGACATCAGGGTGGGGGTAAGACAGAAAAAACTGGATAAATTATGTATATTGTATTGAAACAGATGAGGGAAAGAACAGATTAGAAGTGATATATGATTGAGTATTATGGTTAGCACAGGAATCCAGAATTAAGGTTGCATAGAGAAGTGTACTTGGGGTGGGGGTGGGGAGAAGGGACGTGGGAACTGTATACTAATGAAGGAATTTTTTTTTCTTTTTTTATTTTTTTTCCTCTCTTCAGAGGGGGAAGCAAGCTGGTGGGGAGGGGTGGACAGGGAGAAAATTGAGGCAATGAATGAATGGAAATCCAAAACCTCTGTAAAATAAATAAATACATTTAAAATAAAAAGAATATTGAGGAATGATGGAGCAATGAATGACAAGAATTTTAAAGAAGAACCACTAAGCCCAGCAATTAATTATATGTGCAAGAAGGAAATAGAAAACCTAGAAAGATAAAAGTTTGGAATGAGAAATAAAAATTATTTCTAAAACATAAGGAGTTTTATGGCAAAAGATGATGTCCCAGTATTAAGACCTTGGCGATAGGTGACCTGAAGACATATTTTAATCACTGTTGCCAACTTATTCTAATAAAACAAACATCATTTGTTTACCTCTTTGCCCGCTCCAGGTCATCATTGGCCTGCTCCAGTTCTCTCACATACTTATGTAACTGCTCCTTGATAGCCCGCGTCTGACTTAAATCATCTTCTAATACTGAGACTTGCTTGTAGCTCTGTGCATACTGATGCTCTAGTTTCTCCTAAAGGTATGCGTATAGGAAAGGAAGTAAATGTTATTAACATATAGTTTTCCTTAATGGTTTAAAAAAAAATTCAAGCAAAAAAACATAATTTTCCTGAACCTTAGCTAACAGATCTTATCCTTTTAAAAATATTATAAAACTAAATGACATATGCTAAGTACCTTTACTCAGAAACATTTAGGTTATCAACCAGTCTCAGAACAAATTTTAATAATCTCTTATCTGAAAAGATGGTCACAAAATCTCTTCTCAAAAACCTCAAACTTGGAAGAAAACCTCTGGGTTTTCCAGCTGACTCTAGGCCAAGTACAGAGATACAAACTGCCAGCTGGAAGTTCAAATTCTCTCCTCTATGCCTGTCCTCCCCAACTTCCAAACCACCCCACCCACTCCCCAGACACAGAAACACCTTCAAGCATTTGGCTTAGATAGATGGTTGCAGACCAGCAATTTCCTCCTCTTGAGAATTCCTTTTTAGAAGAGTTTTTAATTTTATATTGATCTGCTTACCAAGTTATTATACATTGTTTCACATTATACTTCATTCACAGTGCATTTCATACAATAATTCCCATGCATTATGTTTTATAAAATCAATCACCATCAGACCTTGCCCATAATTACCCTGTCTTTACAGGTCCCCACTGGATCCTTCCTATTTCTTTCAAACTGTTCAACCCTGTGGTTTTACCCCTACCCAAATTCATCCTTCTGCTCCCACCCTTAAGCCAAACAAGACTCTAAAATTGAAGGGCTATTATGATCAACCATGAAATTATTTTATATCAATGTAATTTAAAAGTATTACAGAATGAGACAATCTACTTATCAAAGCAGGCAAACAGGGCACTTTAGGAAGCTATAATAATTACAATAAATATTATAACTAGAAAACTGACATTACTATCAAGTTGTTTTTTGTTTTTTTCTTTTTTATTATTAGTTTTATTGAAAGTTTAGAGAGACTT